TATTGTATTTTCATGTATAGAGGAGGCTGATATGTATGTGTGTGTGCATGTGCAGGCCTGAGTTTGATGTCAGGTGACTTCTTCGATGGCTCTCACCTTATATATTGAGACAGACGCTCATTGAACCCAGAGCTTATTGCCGTGGTTGATCAAACTAGCCCGTTTGCTCCAGGTTCCTGTCTCTGCCTCCTATGTGCTGATTACAAGCAGGCCATCTCCTGACCCAGCTTTTTACTTAGTTTCTGGGGGATAGAAGCTAGCACCTGCAAGCCAACTCCCCAGCCCTAAAAAGATTGCTTTTTGTGTTATGCAAATTTAAATTCAATTCTAAAAACCTATTGATATGGAATTTATAAAATTATCAGAAAAAAATCATGGAAGCCTAATGCACCTTTTGCTCCAGCTGAGACCATTGTCTACAGCCACTTTCCCCCAGGCCCACCCCAGGTAGAAGGAATCCCTCCAGGATAGCAGAAAGCAGACCCTGATAAGAGTATTGATTTTAAATTAAAGCCTGGAGAAAAAGCCAGAAGTCACCCTGGATGTAATAGGAGAAAACATAACAGGCAATGTTGCTTACTTCTGAGCTCCCAACACTGTTACTGTTACTTTCATTATAATGTCTTCAGACATCTCTGAGGTACTGAAAAGCACCTAACTGCAAGATTACACCTTTTTTCTTCTAACCAAAAAGCCTGTACACCTGAAAGCAAATACAGTCATTGAAATTGAAAATAACAGAGCACACATGTAAAATTTTTTCTTTATAGAACTCGTTATACTGCCTTTACAACCTTTTCCAACTAGATATGCATATTAGATTAATGCCATCATGCATTTTTCAATTTCCAAATATAGCACATGGATATGCCATTAAATAGGGGAAACACTGCTGAACCCAGCTGAACAAAGGGATGTTTTTATTACATTACCATGCTCTGCTGCATCCCTTAGAAGACAAAAAGAATTATGGCTACAGAGATCAAAGGGCTTCTCTCCTCCCCTATCGATCTACTAGAAGACAATTTGATTGCTCCTGCATTTAATGCTCAGATCATCCAAGCTTCCTAGGCTGGGGTGGAAAATCAGCTAAGATTTATAAATCCTTTCTCACAAAACACATACAAAGAGAATGGGATTATATTAAAACAGTAAGTCACGCTGCAGATTTTTGAAGATTTATGCTTCTGTAGTATCTCAGTGATTCTTCATAGCTCTGGATACCAAGCAGAAATGAAGATTGATCGTGGAGGACTTTCTCATCTCTCCTCCTCACTGATTCATCACGGTAGCCACCAGATGGCCACTGTCGTCCCTGATGAAGCAGGTGGCCTCTGTGCAATGTTTGTGACAGTTCATTACAGCTCTCTAATGGGTTCTGCTTTAGAGTGCCCAGCAGAGTGTAACCCAGATCACAGAATAAAGACTAGGAATTTGGAATATATCAGGAATAGGTCTAGTCTGTTGGTGATAACTGCACGGGGCAAACCCCAAAGGAGTGCTTTGTTGTTGTTTGCTTGTTTAAAAACCTACATCTAGAGGCTGTTGTGAGCACTTGCTGCTCTTGCATAGGACACAGATTCAGCTCCTAGCACACACACACACACACACACACACACAAGTGCAGTTGAGCTCCTGGGAAATCTAATGCCCCCTTCAGGCCTCTATGGGCACCTGCATGCACAATCATATACATAAATCCTCACACTGATATTCACATACACGATTACAAAACAAACTTTTTTTTTTTTCCAAGATAGGGTTTCTCTGTAGTCCTGCCCATCCTGGAACTCACACTGTAGATCAGGCTGGCCTCAAACTCAGAGATCGATCTGACTCTGCCTCCCAAGTGCTGGGATTAATGGTGTGTGCCACTAAAAATAAACATATTTTTAAAAGAGCCATCTGACTCCCCGCCTCCCCCTTTCCAAGACAGGACCCTATAGCCAAAACTAGCCTGGAACTTGCTATTTACTCCAGGTTAGCCTCAAACTCAAACTCTTCTTAGCCCTATCTGCCACATGCTAGGATTATAGGACTATGCCACCATGTCTGGTTTAGGTCTATTTTGCCAGGCTGGCCCCCAACTCAAGGGTCATTTGATTCTTCTGCTTCAGATGCCCAAGTAACAGGCTGAGTCACCAGCAGTGCCTATTAAGACAAATTTACCTCATGTAGACTCATCTGCTATGTAAATTAATGAAGAAATGGACTGCCTATAAAGACTTCCTGACCAAAGGACTCATAAAGGATATAAAGAAATCCTGGCCAGAGGTGGTGGTTCATGCCCTTAATCCTGATGTGAGAGTCCCCTCTGTATACTGTGAATACCACTGATTAATAAAGAAGCTGTTTTGGATCTGTGATAGGGTAGAGCAGAGCTAGGAGGGGAAAACTAAACTGAATGCTGGGAGAAAGGAGGTGGAGTTGGGAGAAGCCATGGAGCCGCAGCCAGAGACAGACATATTGAAATCTTGTCGGTAGACCATGAGTCTTGTGGTAAAATATAAAATAATGGAGATGGGTTAATTCTAGAGCTTGCTAGCAATACGCTTAGGTAATTGGCCAAGCAGTAATTTAATTAATACAGTTTCTGTGTGACTATTTCGGGAGTCTGGGCAGCCAGGAAACGAACAACATAATCCCAGCATCCAGGAGGCAGAGGTAAGTAGATCTCTGTTCAAAGCCAGCCTGGCCACACAGCAAGTTCCAGGCCAGTCAGAGCCAGAGAGACTCTCTCTCAAACAAACCACCTCCTTCAGGGCTAATCAAGCTTTAGCTCACTCAAAAAGCTCTCCTGGTACCTGAAGTTCGTGGGACACTAGATCAAATGTAAGCACAAGAATCTAAGGTTAGAATCAGAATCTGAGATATTATATTAATCTCCAGGCTGTAGTCCACCCCACTTCTTAGTGGTAAATGTAGGTAAAGCAAGAAGGAAAAAGTAGATGATTCTTAATCAACCTCATGATATTAATAGACAGATTCCCTTATTCATTAGGAAGGAACTGACTAACTCGGCATTGTGGCACAAATCTGTTGTCTTAGTACTTGAATAAGTACTAAGAGTACTTGAATAAGTACTAAGAGACTGAAGTAGGCCTCCTGCCATGTGTAAGTGCTTGGCAGACTTTCAGAAGATCAATATGGCATTTCATTTGTGGAAAGACTATTAAATCTTTGTAGGAAATTAATTCAGATTTCCCCAGTCTAGTTTTGAAGAGAAGCCAACAATTACATTTATTTGTACATCACAACATTCAAGGGATAAAAAGTGGGACTCTTATTATTATTCTTTTAAACAGGGTATCATGTATCCTAGGCTGATATCTAACCCTGTCTCAAAGCAAACAGTGGAGGGCTGGAGATGGCTCCATGGTTAAAAATGCTCACTGTGCAAGCTTGAGCATCAGACTTGGATCCAGCACTCTTCTAACAACCCAAACTTCTAGCAAATGCTTTAACTTCAGCTCTGAAGGATGCAACCCTCTTCTGGCTCCCATGCATGTACAGGAACACACCTACATACAAAAGTACATATACATACACACAGATGTTTAACACACACAAACTTGAGGGACTTTATGCCATTTTGTTTTTGAGATAGGGTCCATGGAGCCCTGGCTGTCCTAGAACTTGCTATGTAGAAGAGAGATCCTGTCTCCACTACCCGAGTGATGGAATAAGCATGTAACACCTAGCTGGCTTCTATCCCTATTCCAAAATCAGGCTCTCAGGGGTTAGGGAGATGAGTTAGCAAGTGCCTGTCATACAAGCATGAAGATCTGAGTTCTATCTCAGCCCGAGCACCCACATAAAGACCTAGACATGGCGGTATGTGCTTGTAACTGAGTGCTCAGTAGGTAGAGATGGGAGGATCTCTGGGGTCTGCTGACCAGGCAGCCTGTCTAAATCAGTGAACCATATGTATATATATGGTCTCTTCTGTAACCTGATATATATATATATATATACATACACATATATATTAGACATCTGAGTAACTTCTGACCTAAGCCCCCACAACCCGATCAAAATTTTATTTTCATTATTTATCGTGTATGTATAATATATTTGTATGGGAGGCATGCCATAGCAAACATGTGGAGGTCAGAACTATCTGTAGGAACTGGTTCTCTCCTACCATGTGAGTTCCAGATATTGAACTTAAGGCTTGGCAAAGGTGACATTACCCACTGAGCCATCTCTCCCTGGCCACAAACCAGGATTTCTAGTATGTGGTATTACACAATAAGGGGTAAATTCATCAGGCTTTGATTACCAGTGTACACCTGAGATTTGGGGCCATGGCATGAAGTTTATGCTAACAGTGTAACTTGCTTGTGGGCAGGTTCTGCAGTATAAGGAGCTAATTAACAAAATCACAAATACTCCAGTGCCTCCTTAACTCCCACTAAAACAGAATAATACAGTGAACTTGTTGGTAAAACATCATCGCACTAATTTCTGAGAACTAAACACTGCCCCTACACGACAACCGGAATAAGTCAAGCAGAAACTTGTACCTGGCTGTCCTCAACTCCAGGAAATGTGCCATTCCCCTTGCTGATTTTAATTTGCATCCTTTGCTGATTTAATTTGCATGTTTTGACCTGAGGATGGCCTTGGAAATCCTAACTAGATGCTGGCTGCATCAGCTGAAGTGGCATCAAATTCTACAGTCGTCTACTGTTGCGGCAACTCAGCACAGCACAGCACAGCACAGCACAGCACCGGCAAGCGGCAAGACGCCGATTAATACCTAGTCACGGCACTTTAATTCAGACACCTGTCTTTTGAAGTGTTTTGTTTTTTAAAATCCAGCCAAGGGCTGCTGAGCTGTCTCAGTAGATAAAGGTGTTGCCACCAGGCCTGACTATCTGAATTTGAACTGCAGGACTCACACGGTGGATGGAGAGAAATTATTCTTTTGTTTTCCTCCCACGATATTACAGCACACACATACATACAATAAAGAAAAAAATGTCAACAAATCAACATTGGATAAAATAAATTTTATTAAATGTCAGAAGAGATTCACGCACAATTTCATAAATTCTTTACAAAACATCTGCCAATGTAAGTTCAATCTTATAAGTTTCTGAACAGATTTGGAAATTTTGCTGTGAAATAAGAGTCTATAAAATATTTCTTCTAGAAAGCATCAGGATGCTAATTTTAGGCAAAATAATGCTTAAATTAATTTTAAACATTAAGTTTAAAATAAATTTCATGACCTTACTTCATGAAAGCAAGGTTCTCAGACTCTCATTCTTTATCCCAGTGATGAGAAAACAAACATTAAACATAGAACCAGTTAAGGTAAGTGACTGATGAAACAATAAGGATTCTGTAAACTTCTGGTAATTCACCTGAAATTTTTTGCTACTTTCAGAAGCAGTGCCATGACAAGTGCCATTATCAATAGCCACACTGAGGGAACCCATGTGACACCTGTCCCAGCAGCACTGATCTATGCAAATAAAACATCACAGAGAAGCACCTCATATTTAGGGATGTTAAGAGCCGTACCCAACAGGAGACAGTCTCTCCACTGTCTCAGAGCTGGATAACATTGCTTTAGTAGGATCACTGTTGTTTTTAATGTTTAGAATAGGACAGGACTGTGTAAATGGACAGTAGTTTTGGTGCTGAGTGCACCCTGCAGATTGGCTTTGAATTCAAAGCAAAGCTGTTCTGCAAGGACACCTGCCCAACCCATGTAGCCTGGAGGGCAGAATCCTAGCTGCCAAATGACCAACCTACCTCAAAGATGGGAACCAGCAACTTCCTTGTATTTGGAATCACAAGGAATTTTAAAATTCAGTGTTTTCAGTTTTTACCCCTGAGTTTTGAGTGCTTTGTATATAGTCTCTAGTGTAGTAAATACATTCTATTATTTCAAGTTGTACACATAATGCTAGGGTTCTGGTGTGGAAAATCAGAAGCTAGCTCTTAACAGCACAAAGTAGTGGTGGCTACATGTTTCTGAGAATCTTTGGTGTAATGCAGACCTGCAGAAGCATCCTTTTGCATTTTCTTCCTCATATACCCTCTTCATGTTATTTTCAAAGGAGAAACCACAAGACCGTAATGAAGAACAAGCAGACCATCCTGGAAAGGGAAAAAAAAAAAGACTATTCAGTTCTTTCAGAACTAGTTATATATGATATATGAGCAAACCAACATGGTCTATTTTTTATAATCTAACAGTAATGAGAAATTCTTTAACGTTAAAAAAGAGAGTACAAGGGCTGGAGAGATGGCTCAGCGGTTAAGAGCACTGCCTGCTCTTTCCAAAGGTCCTGAGTTCAGTTCCCAGCAACCACATGGTGGCTCACAACCATCTGAAATAAGATCTGATGCCCTCTTCTGGCCTGCAGACAGACACACAGACAGAATATTGTATACATGATAAATAAATAAATAAATATATTAAAAAAAAAGAGAGAGAGTACAAGATAAATATAGCTGCTTTTTTACTGGCATGACCAAAAACTCCCTGTCGATGTTTCTTTCTTTCTGTCTGTCTGTCTATCTGTCTGGTAAAAGATTTATGAAGGCGCCAAATGTCATTATAGAGGGTTGTGAGCCACCACGTGGTTGCTGGGAATTGAACTCAGGACCTTGGAAGAGCAGTCAACGCTCTTAACCACTGAGTCATCTCTCCAGCCCCTCTTTTCCGTTTTTCTGAGTCAGAGTCTTGTTATACGGCTCTGGCTGGCCTTACTCTCTGAATAACTGCTAGGATTCCAGGCCCTAGGAATGCCTCCCATTCCTTTTTTCTTAAGACTTAGAATTGTGAGCTGCTTGACAAGGGTGTTATGAAACAACCTCTAAGGAGCAATACATGCTCCTAACTCTGAATTATCTCTCCAGACTCTAGGTCCTTTTGAAAGATGGGCCCAGCTTGGTCAAAAATTTCTGGGCTGAAAACAATTCTTTTGCCCCAGCCTCCTGAGCAGCTCAGGTGACCCACCCCAAACAGCTCAATATGATGACGCTCAGGAGCCAATGTGTACCTCTCATGTAACCACAGCTAACCAGGAACAGGCATTTATGACCAAAAACAACCGAGAACTTTTTTTGTCCAAAGACTATTCACAGACTGAACACTTGATCTATCTGAGAAAGACTCAATCTGAAAAAAATCATAACAGATTTGTTCAGAAAATGTGAGATGAGAGTGGCGGTGCACTTTGGAGGCTGGGTGAAGCAGGCAGGTGGATCTCTGGGATGGTCAGGCCAGCCTGGTCTACATAGTTTCCAGGACAGCCAGAGCTACATAGTGAGACTCTGTCTCAAAAAACAAGATAGAAATAAAATGTTTACTCCACAAATGCAGCTTACTATTCTAATAAACATTCTAACTCTCACCTATTTGATGAAAATACATTTTATATATTTTGCTACCTCCTTGCAGGCTGTCATTAGAGCTGTTAGTCAACTAACTTTACACTAAATATTTTAGATGCTGTGTTCCAAAGCCTTTGTATGGGTATTCTGAGGTTTTGTTGGGTTTTTTTGTTATTATATATACAATATTCTGTCTGTGTGTATGTCTGCAGGCCAGAAGAAGGCACCAGACCTCATTACAGATGGTTGTGAGCCACCATGTGGTTGCCAGGAATTGAACTCAGGACCTTTGGAAGAGCAGGCAATGCTCTTAACCATTGAGCCATCTCTCCAGCCCCCGGTTTTTTTTAATTGTTGTTTTAGGGTCTGGAGAGATGCTAAGTGGTTAAGAGCACTAGACTGGCTACTTTTACAGAGATCCTGAGCTTAATTCCCAGCAACCACAAGGAGGCTCACAAACTTCTAAAATGAGATCTGGTGCCCTTTTTTTGGCCTGCCAGCATACATGCAGGAAGAGCACTGTATATGTAATAAATAAATAAATTAACTGTTGTTTTAATGTTTCTGCCTGTTCATTCACGTACTTTTTGGGAGCTGAGGTGTTGCTCTAAAGAGAGGCTCTTAGAGCTGGAGAGATGACTAACAACAACCTAGCAACTCCAGCTCTAGGGGATCTGATGCTGCTGCCTCATGCAGTGCACATAAACACACACAGGTATGTTCTTTCTTACACACGAATACACATACAATCTCTTTCAAATACACACAAGTTAAAAACAAACAAACAAAACAAAAATCCCCTAAACCTAAAAGGGTAGCTTAGGCTGGCCTGGAACTAACTTTTTATCTTCCTGTCTCCACCTCCACCTGCTGAGACTACAGGCATGTACTTACTACCATATTCAGTGGCCATCTGTGTTTTTTTTTTAAAAAAAAAACTGTATTATCTTTTTTAAAGGATTACTTTATTGCCACTAATCTCATAATCCTTTGTTTTTTTAAATATATATAATGTATACAATATTCTGTCTGCGTGTATGCCTGCAGGCTAGAAGAGGGCACCAGACCTCTTCACAGATGGTTTTGAGCCACCATGTGGTTGCTGGGAATTGAACTCACGACCTTTGGAAGAGCAGGCAATGCTCTTAACCACTGAGCCATCTCTCCAGCACACGTTTTTTTGTTTTGTTTTGGTTTGGTTTTTTGTTTGTTTTTTTTGTTTGTTTTTTTGTTGTTGTTGAGACAGTGTCTCACTATATAGTCCTGACTGACCTGGAATTCAGAGTTCCTGTCTCTGCCTTCTGAGGGCTGGGGTTAAGGTGTGTGCACCAACAGGTCCAATTTTGCTTTGAGACAAGGTTTAAGGGTCTGACTATGTAGCCCAGATTAGCCTGATATGATTGACCTTTCAAAGTGCTATAGTTTCAGTGTGACCCATTCTGCCTGGTTCTGTGTCCCATCTTGGTACAAGGTCTTACTACTTTCAAAGGATTAAAAAAAATAAAATAAAAAAGAGCTGGGCAGTGGTGGCGCACGCCTTTAATCCCAGCACTTAGGAGGCAGAAGCAGGCGGATCTTTGTGAATTGAGGCCAGTCAGGTCTACAAGAGCTAATTTCAGGACAGACTCCAAAGCTACAGAGAAACCCTATCTCAAAAAACCAATAAATAAATAAATAATCAATTAATTAAAAAAAGAAAAAACAAAACAAAAAGATTAAAACCATCCTTACTATTGTCCTCTTACTAGGAATGCACTAAGAAGTAAGTAATCCAACCTCAGAAAGCACTACTACTTTTTGTTTGTCTTCTGATACATGGTTTCTCTGTGTAGCCCTGGCTGTCTTTGAACTTGCTCTGTAGACCAGGCTGGCATCGAACCCACAGAAATCCACCTGCCTCTGTCTCCAGAGTATTGGGGCACTATTATTTTTTAATTACTAGAAAATTAGCAAAAAAGATCTCATGGAAATGTGCCAAAGAAATGTGAGCAACACAGAAAAGGTTACTGGCACACCAGCTTCGCAGTCCAATCTTGCTCCCATAATCTCCTCTTTTGCTAAGATTTCTGTATGTGGTTGTTTGAATGGGAACGGCCCCCAAACACTCGTTTGAATTATCTGGTCCCCAGTTGGTAGAGGTGTGTCAGTCAGGAAGGCTTTGAGGTTTCAAAACCCTCATGCTATTCCCAGTGTGCTCTTTGCCTCCTACCTGCTGTTTAATATGTGACCACTTAGCTACTCCTGCTGCTGTAATCTATGCTCCACCATCATAGACCCGAATGCTCTGGAACTATAAGCCCAATTAAACACTTCCTTTTCTTTCTTCTTTTTCTGGTTTTTCAAGACAGGATTTCTCTGTAGCTTTGGAGCTTGTCTTGGAACTAGCTCTTGAAGACCAGGCTGGCCTCAACTCAGAGATCTGACTGCCTTTGCCTCTCGAGTGTTGGGATTAAGAATGTACCACCACCATCCAGCTTAAACACTTCCTTTTCTAAATTGCATTTGGTCATGGTGTTTTATCATGTCATAGAAAGTAACTAAGGCACACAAAAAGCATACTCTGGCAGATCTCTGTGATTTTGAGGCCAGTCTGGTTTACACAATGAGTTCCAAAACAACTAGGGCCATATAGAGAAATCTTTTTTTTTCTTTTAAATATTTATTTATTAGGTATACAATGTTCTGTGTGTATGCCTGCAGGCCAGAAGAGGGCACCAGACCCCATTACAGATGGTTGTGAGCCACCATGTGGTTGCTGGGAATTGAACTCACGACCTTTGGAAGAGCAGGCAATGCTCTTAACCACTGAGCCATCTCTCCAGCCCCATATAGAGAAATCTTATCTCAAAAACAACAAAATAATAATGATGATGATGATAATGATGATGATGTTATAAAAGAAAGTAACTAAGACACCATAGCTCTGTTTCTTCATTTCTCATCCACTGCTCAACCCACTGCAACCTGGTTTCTGTTCCTGGCAACTCCAGCAAAGACAAGAGGATTCTAGAAAAGGATATACAATTCAAATGCTCACAAAAGCCAGGAAAGTAATGTAAATGAATGCATATCAGGCATGTGAGATAGTAAGGAATGGCAAACATCAACGATAAAACCAAAAAGCAGATGCTTATCTGCATGAATTTAAAAATTTAAAATATAGAAGAGACCAGCAATTGGTCTCTTGGGACAGTCAGAGCTGTTCCATAGAGAAACTCAGCCTCACAATAAATAAATAAACAAACAAACAAACAAACAAATAAATAAATGGATAAATAAGTAAGTAAGTGTGTGGGGGGGGAGCATAGGTCAAATAAAACATGATATACCATGTTTGGTTCATGAACCATCGTACTTACTCAAATTAGCATGATCAAAGTGAATGTTCATATAACACAAATACAAATATTCCATTACCAGTTTTATATACATACAAATCATACTTTTGTGTTTTTGTCATAGTTCAGAAGTTAAAAATATCAGTTTTCAGAACAATATATTGATATGCAGATATAAAACTCAGTGTAGCTTACAAGCTGTTTCAAGACCTCAAATTACTTCAGTGCATATATACGAACACATTTTTCAAAATAATTGCTTGTAATTTAAATGTAATCTAGATGCTATATTTATATTTTCTATAAATATGTATATGTAAACATTTAAATTTATATTTTCTATTCATATCTCTATCACGGTTAACTTTTAAATCTATGCCAATTTATGGTTTGTCCTTCATAGGTTCAAATGCTTAATTCCCAGTGTAGAGTGTTGAAGATGTGGTGCTTAGTGAAAGGTAATTAGATCAGTGGTCTCCACTCTCATAAATGTATTAATGCATGTTAAGGGAATTACCAGGTAATGTCGAGACTGTATTAAAGCCTTGAGTGTCTCAAATAGCTCAGTAGGTCTCAAATTGGCTATGTAGCCAAAGGTGGTCTTCCTGCTTCCACCTACCAAGTGACAGTATGAGTGCCACCACACCCAGCAAACGTGGCTGTTATAAAGCAATTTCAGCTGTCTCCACTAGCACTCTTGAGTAATAAATCAAACTGCCACTTTCGTTTTGTTCAGCAGTTGTAGCACAATTAATAATAACCAAGAGACTGATACTGGGGTTTAACTTGAAGGTCAGAAAAGCTAAACAGTCAGCCACGGGTTCTTACCTCTACCTCAGTCCGAAATGGTGATCTTGCCTCCTGAATCCTCAAAATGTGTGTGAGAGCTGTCTCCTTCCGTCTTATATTCCTCTCTAGGGCTGAGTATAAAGGTGTGCACCACTACTGCCTGGTTTCTATGGCAAACTAGTGTAGCTACTGGGAATAGAATAAAGGTGAGTGTCACCATTGCCTGGTCTGTAAGGCTGATCAGTGGGGCTGTTTTACTCTCTGATCTTCAGGCATGCTTTATTATTAAAATACAAACGAAGTATCTACAAGAAGTTTCCAGTAGTTTCCTGTCACACTTAATTAAAATTCAAAGATTTTTGTTTATGAATCTTTGCTTTTGTTTGACTATAGACTATGTAGTCCAAGGTCCTCAAACTCAACAGCAAACCTAGGTCCTCTGCAAGAGGAGGCAGTACTCTTAATCCCTGAGCCATTTCTTCAGCTCTACCACCACAGAATTTTCATAATTCATTACATTGTAAATCTGTTTAGCATAAGTCTGATAAAGTTGAAAACCAACCTGCATTGCCGTATCACCTATTGCACGCCGGATTTCCCGTAGAGTTTGGTACCGTTCCAATAAGTGATCACCGCAGATGATATCTACCTATGGAAAAACAACGGGCTATCAGACCACTTTCCTGCTTCAAAACATGTGAAGAGGGGAATTAGCATGACTACTTCATGATTGGATTTAACTATTTTATAGTAGGCTTTTTAAAAATTAGAGTTTTTTTTTTTATGTGCACCCTTATTCATGGAGTCCAAAAAGTGTTCAACAAGTGTCCTCTATCACTGTCTTAACTTATTTTCCCAGGACCTGGAGCTTACTAATTGGTTAGACTGGATGGCCAATGAGCTCAGGGAATCTATCTATCTGTGCGCCTGAGCCTGGACTACAAACATGTACTGTAGAGGTGGATCTCTTAGTAATAGGCTAGGCCAGCCATGTATACACAATGAGATCCTGTCTCAAAAAAAAACAAGCAAAAAATCAAAGGGCTGGAAGGATGGCTCAGCAGTTAAGGACACCCAGGTTTAAGCCCAGCACCCACATGGCAGCTCATAATCATCTGTAACCCCAGTTACAGAGGATAAATGCCCTCTTCTAACCTCCCTGAGTACTGTGCACAAGTGGTGCACAGCTAAATGCAGGCAAAAGACCCATACATATAAAAGAAAAAAATTAAAAACAAACATAAAACAAAAAAGGAGGCTGGAGATGAGCTCAGAGGTATTACTTAGCAAGCATGAACCACTGGGTTCAATCTCCAATATAGCACAAAGAAATAACTTATTTATTATCTCTACGATTTGGAAAGCTTAAACACTGAAAGTCACCATTCATGGGTCTATATCTTTGATAATCTTTACCATTATTTCAACTTGGGAGTCGACAGGCAGGCAGATCTTACTTAACTTGATCTATAAAGTGAGTACCAGGATAGCCAGGGCTATAAAGTAAACCTGTCAAATAAGTAAGTAAACAGACAAATAAATGGGCTGGGGAAAATAGAGAAACCCTGTCTCCAAAAACCACAAACAAACAAACAAATGGGTTTGGAAAATGACTCAGTAGATAAAAGCACTTGCTAAGCGAGCAAGCCCAACACTCTAATTTGATCCCCAGAACTCACAGTGGAGGTAGAGAACCAAATCCCAAAGACTTTCCCTGACCTCCATATGTGTGCTATGATGTGTACACATACAAGTAAAACAGTAACACTAAAAATAAATAAATAAATAAGGAAACCTTTAAACTCAGACTTGAGCGTTGGGGATGGAAAATTTTATTTATTTTTTTATCCATGGGAACTGTGGCAAGCACGGCAGTGCATACCCATAATTCTAGCACTTAGAAGATGGAGATAGGAGGATCTGGAACTCAACCCAGCCTTGGCTCCATAAGGAGTTTGAGCTACACGAGACCCTGTCCCAAAACAACAAAAACTAAATAAATAAATAGGAACTGAATTCTGGGCAAAATATAGTCACAGAGGGAGCAACGGACATCCTAGAACCTGCCCACCTGGACATCACTTCCTCTACAGTATATGGTCAAGTCACCATGTTGTGATGTTGTTATGTAAAAAAGTCTCACTGAGGGCTGAAGAGATGGTTCAGAGGTTAAGAGCACTGACTGCTCTTCCAGAGGTCCTGAGTTCAATTCCCAGCAACCACATGGTGGCTCACAGCCATCTGTAATGAGATCTGGTGCCCTCTTCCGGCATGCAAGCATACATGGAAGGAATGTTGTATACATAATAAATAAATCTTTAAAAAAAAAAAAAGTCTTACTGATGACCTGAGGTTATAGCTAGCTAGCTAGGCACACGTAAACAGAAACCCAAGATATTGAGATTAATACTAAAAGCAGTATAATTTCAGTCATTATTTTAACACGTGTATTACTGAGTCAATAATATGAAGCATATTTAGCTACACATATTCTATCAAACTCTGCATGACAGTTAAATTTAATGGATGAAAAACCAAAGATATATAAAAATAATTTTCAGGTGGTCCAGAACTAGAATTTTGGGAACATTTTAATTTTGGTTTTTCTAGACAGGGTTTCTCTGTAGTTTTGGAGCCTGTCCTGGAGCTAGATCTGTAGACCAGGCTGGCTGTGAACTCACAGAGATCCACCTGCCTCTGCCTCCCGACTACTAGGATTAAAGGTGTGAACCACCACCACCCGACCATGCTCCACCAACACCCAGCAACATTTTAATTTTTTACAACATGCAAAGTTTGATGTTTTCTAACTTATATCAAGAAAATACTATATAAGCAGGAGGCATTTTTATATTTATTTCAGTTTCCTAGGAGTTTGAGTTTCCCTGTTACATTAGCAAGAAAGTCTTCTGATGGAAAGCAGAAGCCAAGTAACCTCTTGTTCTATTATCAACTGCAAAAGAACTGGAACTGAGGACCCAGAAATCTGTTAGTATTTTTCACACCTTCAGTTTTTCCCGAAATCAAGAGATGGTCACCAATGGCAGTAAGAAATGGAGGGTGTGATGGCTCATCTTGTCTGTCAACCTGACCACACCCAAGCAGCTGCGTATACCTGTGAAGATTTTTTCTTTCTTTTTTTTTTTTTGTTTTGTTTTTCAAGATAGGGTTTCTCTATGTTACAGCTCTGGCTGTCCTGGAACTCACTTTGTAGATCAGGCTGGCCTCAAACTCACAGAGATCTGCCTGCTTCTGCCTCCCAAGTGCTAGGATTAAAGGTGTGTGCCACCACTGACAGGCTGTGCAGAATTTTCTTAAATGGATCATTTGAGGTCAGAAGATCGACCTTCTGGAGGCAGCCTATCTCACTAGCGAGTTCATCTATCCTGCTGCTCAGGCATTATTTTACTGTTACTAGTATGCAGAATGAAGACCAGCTGTCTTATCCCCGTGAACTCAACTACCAGATTCTTGACTTTTGCATCAAGAGACATTGTTGGACTAGTTGGATCATAGCCTGTAAAACATTCTAGTAAACCTATATATATAGGTTTATTATATATATATATAAAATATATATTTATTGTATTGATATCCATTCTATCAGTTTTGTTTCCTGGAGAACTATAATTAATATCAGTTATATCAACATTCTATTAATAGTCATATCTGTATCATATAAAAGCCACTGCATGATTCTAGAGACAATTCTTCAGTATGTCAAGGGTAGTCTTTCAACCTCACCTTTCCTTTTACATACATGTACTGTACCTGACAAGCTGGATCAAGACCCATTTTTCTTCTAAGAAATTTCTCTACATGCCCAATAGTTGCTTCTCCTGAAACACGCACAAACTTCTTTTCTAATGGCTACAAAAACAGACAAAATTTTTCAGATTAAGTAAGTATACACATACATAAAATTACATACAAACTTTAATGCAAGTTTTTAAGCCAAGATAATTCAGTAGGCTCTTAAAAAAAACTGCTATGGGGGCTGGAGATATGGCTCAGTGGTTAAGAGCACTCACTGCTCTTCCAGAGGACCAGGGTTCAATTCCCAGCACCCACATGGCAGCTCACAACTGTCTGAAGATCCAGTTGCAGGGGATCTGACACATTCACACCAATGCACATAAAATAAAGTTAAATAAACCAGAAAAATATTTAAAAAAAAAAACTGCTATGAACTTGAGTCAATTTGTAATAGAAATTCTGCAAATCTTTTAAATATGCCAACAACATTTTTAATAGAAAGGCTTGTTGATTTACTTTAAAAGTTCATGAAAAACAAGTAAGTCCGGTCCAATGCTACATGTCTGAAATCCTAAAACTTAAGAAGTGGAATCAAGAGGATTGCAAATTCAAGATCAACCTGAACTATGGTTGGCATCCTGTTGCAAATAAGTACACACACACACACACACACACACACGACAAAACAAGAAAATCCAGGCATTGCAGCGCCTGCTTGTAGTTTCCTCTACTTGGGAGAAGACAACACAAGAGCAAGGCAGTACACGCCTGCAGTTCAGGTTTACTTGAGTCTAAGAGCTAAGACAGCCTGGACAACATATACATATACTTGAGAAAACAAGGGTTTTGGTTTTGGTTTTTGTTTTTTTGAAGTCAAGTATGGTGGCTCACATCTATAATCCCAGTACTCTAAAAACTGAGGCAGAAAAATTGCCATGAGCTAAGGATAGCCTAAGCTATAGGCCTATTTCATAAAAAAAAAGTAAGAAAAAATGGAATTTCTAAAATTTAAAATAAGAAGAAATCTAGACACAGACACAGGTAGCTAGCATTACAGGTAGTTGTGAGCCACTCAATGTGTGTGTTGGGAACCAAAATTAGTTCCTCTGCAAGAGCAGTCTAGGCTCTTAATTGTTGAGCCATCTCTCCTGCCCCATGCTGCCATCTTTTACAATATCCTGTTCTAGATTCCCCAAAGGCATCTGAAGATCTCCACTAAAATGACAGTCACATTAGATTAGAGGTACAGCAGAACCTCAGACAGATCTCCCCATTGTGAGAACATCTTTAGCCAGAACACTCATCTCAAGAGAATCAAACTGTCCCCTCAAACAATAAAAACTCTGAACCAGCTTCAAGAGGCAGAACTCAGGTAACGACCCATCAGACCACAATCTGATCAAAACTTGTTAAATACTTGCCTCTTGCCCCAGTTCTGTTTAAACCTAAAGTTGCCAGGCATGGTGTGTCACACATAAATTCCTGGCATTAAGGCAGGCAGAGTGCCAGACTGGGCTACGTGAGTTCCAGGTTAGCCTGGGCTACAGAATGAGAACTTGTCTCAAAAACACAAAAGAATAACCACCACAAAAAGCTAAGCCAGTGACTTAAAGACAAATGAGTCACGGAACTGCTTTATCTGTTCTTTTCCTAATGTGGTAATACTGATTAAACCTTTTAATGCTTTTCATCAATACTTTTCTTCCCCCAGACAATCTTATCCAGAGTTGCCTTGAACTTGACATGTATATCTCACAAGTGCTGGGATTACAGGTATAGGAACCACAGTGGTTATGGAGTGCTAGCAACTTAACCTCGGGCTTCTTGAATACTAGGCAAGGAAGAGCCACACCAACTGGAACTCTATCCCTAGTCCAAACTCGTCTCAACTTTCACAATAGGATGGGAAACTGAGCCTTGTGTGTTGGGACTCACACAGCCATGGCTTTTCCCTTAGAACTCTAGTACATAGGTGTCACAAACAAAACAACTCTGCCATTTCTTAATAAAATGAACAGTCTTTATCACAAATACATCAGAGATCTACTTTTCTAAGTGTCTCTAGCTTGCTATACATCTCAACAACTGACAAAATATGATACAAAGTAGTTTTATTCTTACCTCAAATCTCAGTGAATGCTTGAAGTGACAAGTTAAGGCAGGTTAACTTAGTCAAAAATGTTTATAATATAAAGATTTAAATTCATGTTAAACTCTAAGCACCAACTATACAAGACACTTTGGATTTTTTTTTTTAGACTGGTCTTACAGAGTAGCCTAGGCTGACTTCAAATTTTGGATCCTCTTGCTGCAGCCTCCAGAGAGGTAGGAAAACAAGCTTATAACTACCACACCTGACTCTTAGAATTTTTTAAAATTACATTAAAGTTGGGACTGGTAGTACATGCTTGTAATCCTAGCACTTGGAAAGTAGAGGCAGGATGATCAGAAGTTCAAAGTCATCTTTGGCTGCATAACAAATTCAAAGCCAGCATGGGGCTATATAAGACCTATTTCAAAAACCTAAAAAATAATGAATAACCAATCAACATGGCATTTGGTTTTGTGAATTATTTACTTATTTTCCTTAGATTACTTTCTGATTCAGTAACAAAGCTCTGCTTAATGTTCCTTACCCTGAGACACCAATATAGCATTACTGTTGAATTTCAGTAGCTTGCTTATCGAACATTTAATTTTAATTAAACATAATCTTTACTTGGTTGCTAATCCGATTCAGAATTTTTATCTATAGCATCCTCTTATAAAGTAAACAAAAAATGAATTACCTTAAAGTGTCCTGTATCTTCATTAGCGCTGAAAAATAAAGAAACGGTTACTCAATATTAATACTTTATTTATTTACTGGGTTGTTTGTTTTTTTTTTTTGAGACAACGTTTCTCTGTAGCTTTGGTACTTGTCCTGAAACTAGCTCTTGTAGACCAGGCTGGCCTCGAACTCACAGAGATCCACCTGCCTCTGCCTCCCATGTGCTGGGATTAAAGGCATGCACCACCACGGCCTGGCTCTCGATATTAATATTTTAATTAATAATCATAAAACAAATGAAACGTAACAATATAAACATTTCATAGGCAGCAAATCATTTAACTTAAATAAAACTTTTTGGTTTTGGGGGTATTTTCTTTTTCAAGACAGGGTTTCTCTGTCCAGGCCCCGGCTGCTCTGGAACTCACTCTGTAGACCAAACTGGAATCAAACTCAAAGATCCACCTGCCTCTGCCTCTGCCTCTCGAGTGCTGGGATTGAAGGCATGAGCCACCATGATCGGCTAAGAAACTTATTTTTTACATTTATTTATATTGATGTTCATGTCACAGTGCTGCCCATGTGGAGGTCAGAAGAGAACTTGCAGGCGTCAGTTCTCTCCTTCCATCATATGAGTTCCTGGGATCTATCTCAGGTGGACAGCTTGACAGGGACTTTCCCTGCTGAGCCATTTCACCGGCCTCAATTTTTATATTATGTTTGAGACAAGAGCTCATGTAGCTGGGATTGGTCTGGAACTCACTACGCAGTTGAGGTTAATCTTGAATTTCTGACTCTCCTGCTTCCACCTCCTGAACACCGGGGTTTTACAGCTGTGTGCTACCACACCCAGCATTTTGGGGCAGGGTGGGATTGGGGGAGTGGCAGGTTGAGAATAAGCTTCTGGGTAGTCTGGCTATTCTGGGCTTGAGATGTAGACCAGGCTGCACTCAAACTCACAGAGATCTGCCTGCCTCTGCCTCCCAAGAGCTAGGATTAAACCGTGCATACTACTAGGCCAGGCCTTACTCTATTTTAAAAACATGGTTATCTAAATCTTTGGGAAGAAATAAGATTGTCACACTTCTGCCACCTAGTGGTAAAAACAAGTGCAGTTTAACACAGCATTTTAAACTTCATTTCCTGAGGGGGAGAAAGTTTATGAAACGGTCTCATTGTATAGCCCTAGCTGGCCATTAACTCACAGATCCATCTGCCTCCACCTCCCAAGTACTGGGATTAAAGGCGTGTGCTACCTTGCTCAATCTAACTTAAAAAAAGAAAAAAAGAAAAAAAAAGCTCTCGTGTGTCCATCTCAGACCTGTCTTGCAATTGATCAAGAACTTTTGCCCTTTCAGTAATCAAGTAAAAAACTGCAAAGAAATGAATGATAACTGCTCTTCAGAGAGTGGTTATTAAACCTGAGGGAAGGGAACAAGGCTTCTTGACTATAAACAAAAATATTAGTTTTGTTTCTTGCTTGGTTTGTTTTATTAGCAATGGTTTTTGGCCAGGTTTTCCTTTTTGGAGAACAGGGAAGCCAAAGTATGCAGGGTCTTGTATACGGCTCAGGCTAGCCCTGAATGCAGTGATCCTCCTTCATGCTAAGATCATGTGTGCTACTGTGAGATAAAGACACCACTGGTTAATGTGTACTCTTCGGAATCTTAAATATTCCATAATTCATTATTACACAATTGTTGGAATTTAATTTGGGTTTGTTTGTTTAAGTGAGGCCTGGCAGCACATGCTTATAGTCGCAGTACCTGGGAAGCCCTTAGTCATGAGGATCTAGAATTTAAGGTCAGCTAGGCACAAAAAGAATGTCAAGCAGAGGCAGGAATATCTCTGAGTTTGAGGCCAGCTTGGTCTACAGACTGAGTTCCAGGACAGCAAGGGCTATACTGAGAAATCCTGTCTCAAACAACAATAAAAAACAAAACAAGCGGGGAGGGGGTGGAAAATTTTAATAAATAAATAAAATAATTAATTAAAAAAACAATTAATTGCAGGAAATCATGGGCTAATAAGGAATCTGTCTCAAGAAGAAAATTCACTACATTAAAGTTAAACGGCAATTTTCTTTCTTTAAAGAAAAAGAATTACTTGGGATTGAGATCTCTCAGCAATTGAAAGTTATGTGTTGCTCTTGCGGAGGACCTTGGTTTGGTTCCCAGAATCCACATAGCAGCTCACAACTGTAACTCCAGTTACAAAGAATTCAACATCCTTCTCTGATCTCCTTGGGCACTAGGTATTTACATGGTACACATATGTAACATACATGCAAGCAAAACCTTCATAAAATTAATCTAAAAACAGAAGACTTATTTCATGTGTGTCCTGAGTGTAGGCATGTACACCACATGCCTGGAGGCGACTGAGAAGGCCAGAAGAGGGTGTCAGATCTGCTGCAGGATATTTGATGACACTATAAACCCCAAGATTATGGATAGTTGTGATGTCACACACCTTTAATCCAAGAACTTTCTGTTTGAATATTGTACACAGAATTAAATAAAGTCAGCCACAGGTCAAGAGGCGAAACAACCAACCAGCTGACAGGAAGTGAGTACAAGATTATTAAGAAAAAAAAAGAGAGTAAGAGGGAGTCAGGAGGATGGATAGAACGAGATGAGAGGGACATTGAGTTTGAGAAGGCTGGTTTGAGAGCGGAAGAAATATGTCAGCTGGGTTCTTTCTCTGCCTCTCTGAGTTAGCAGGCTTTCACCCCAAGCATCTGGGTCCCAATCTTTATTCATAAAATCAAACAATCGACATTTTGTTAAAACCAACACAGATCCTCTCAACCTGGAGTTACAGATAGCTGTGAGCAATATGACATGATTGGGAACTGTCCTCTGCAAGAACAGCAAATGCTCTTAACCCCTGGGCCACCTCTTCACCCCCAAAAGGTAATTTACAAGCCAAGCATGGTGGATTACAAACTAAAAACCAAGCACCAGAGGATGAGTTCAAAGCTAGTCTAGGCTACAGTGTAAAACCTTGCTTCAAAACGCAAATGCAAAACATAAGCAAATAGATTTTCTAGGTTACTCACCCAATGAACTCAAGTAATAAAGACATATCAAGTTCAGGTGGAATACGAAACACTGACTCTAGGACTTTCTTGGTTTTTCCTTTGTTTGAAGGGACTGGCTGTGGAACAGCTAATTGAGACAGAAACAAAGAAGCTAACGTAGCATTACAATTTTAATAATTATTAATAATAATAATTTAAGAATTGTCATCTTTAAGGGATGAATCACACAGTATTAAACTATGTTGACTAAATTATTATAAAGCCCTGAACAAATCTCCTTTTCCATAATAACATCAGTTAATCTGTCAAAAATCAATGATTTTAAGGTAGGAAAAATGGCTCAGCTGGTAGAGGTACTTGCTGCCAAGCCTCTGGGTCTGACCCCTAAGATCCACCTTGTGAGGTACTAACTTCTGCCAGTGGATTCCTGTGCAAGTACAAACACGTGTGCATACATATATACGCTTGCAAACATACACATACACACTTCTCTAAATAAATGTAAATGTAAAAAAAAAAAGAAAAACAACAAATTAACTGTAAGCTCAGGGACCACTCCACAATGGAAGGCAGACATGTGACTGATTTATCAGGGTCACAGAGAGTTCATTAAAATACTAACAACATAAGTAACTACAAATACCATGTCCAATACTCACGCTTAGCACATTACACTCTCATTTAATCATTATAAATGTACAATATCTACACTTAAAATATGAGGAGAATTTGCCTAAGGTCACCAAGTAACAGAACAATCAGGATTTAAGCCCAAATCTACCTGACATTGTTACTAACATCATGAAAGTAAGTTACTATGTGCCCAGCACTGTTCAAAGTGCTGGTATTAATCAATGTGTTTAATAAAGTATGATATTCATCCTTATTTTACAGATGTTTGTTAGTGATATTATCTACTATTATTTCCTCCCATCACCTAACCTAATCAAGGGTCAGTGCTACAAACAAACTCACAAAATCTAGCTCTTGAGTCTGTTTGTGATTCCCTCTCACACACTTTTTGTTTTGTGCTTTATTTTGTTTTTTTGAGACAGGGTTTCTCTGTGTAACAGTCCTGGCTGTCCTGGAACTCGCTTTGTAGACCAGGCTGGCTTCGAACTCACAGATATCCGCCTGCCCCTGCCTCAAATGCTGGGATTAAAGGTGTGCGCCACCACTGCCCGGCAATCACACTTTAAAAAAAGAAGGAAAGTCTCACCAGGGGGTGGTGGTGCACACCTTTAATCCCCTCATTCAAGAGGAAAAGGCAGGTGGACCTCTGTGAGTTTGAGGCCAGCCTGGTCTACAGAGTGAGTTCCAGAGAAGCCAGGGCTACATACAGGAATCCTGTCTTGAAAAAAAAACAAAAAGTGTCTCATTATGTTACTCAGGCTGTCCTTAAACTCAACAGCAATCCTCCTGACTCAGTTTCCTAAGTGTTGAGATTACAGTTATGCACTACACCCAGTCCCCTTAATTCTTACAAACTGTTGGGTTATACTGTAGCATTTACCGTCAAAATATTTCTGGGATGATATAACTAGGTATTTCCAAACAGCAACTGTGATGGTATTAATTCTCAACTTGACAGTCTAAAATCACCTGGAAAGTCTTAATGAGGGATTGTCTGTATCAGGTTGGCTTATGAGCATGCCTGTGAGGAGTTTTTAATTCTATTAATCTATCTGGGAAGACCCAGCCTAAGAGTGGGCAGTGTCATTTCTTGGGTTGGAAGTGAGCTGAGCAGTGGGCATGCATGTGTGCATGAATTTCTCTCTGTTCTTGAGTGTAAGCATGTTGTGACTAACAGCTCCAGTTCCTCTGCCTTCATTTCCCTGTAATGATGTGATGTAGCCTGTGAGCTACACTAACCCTCTCTCCTTAAGCTGCTTCTACCAGGTCTACTTTATCACCTAACAGAAAGAGAATGAGGACAGCGCCCCAAGGATAGTCTATCTCTTCAGTCCATGAATACATCACAGTACACATCCAAACTTACCAGGTTTGGGTACTTCTAGACCTCTTTCTTTATAGAAATCATGCATTTGCTTTTTTTCTCCTAAAAAAATGATAAAACATAGACTAAATTACATGTAAAATGTAATTAGCAGAATCAGAGCCTTTGGGAGTCATAACCATGAAATGAAAGAAACTTACTTTCCTCTAGATTGATCACCAATTTGTACACTATGTCTTGTAACTGTCGGTCCAACCTAAGAAAAGAAAGAATAGAGAATACTGCAGCATTCAGAAAAACGAATTTTGGTACAAAATTCCCTCAGGAGCAGATATCTTTTTAAAATTTTATATTTATTTTTTTTGTTTTTCAAGACAAGGTTTCTCTGGGTAGCCCCAAATGTCCTGGAACCTGCTCTGTATGCCTCAAACTCAAGAGATTCACCTGCCTCTGCCTCCTGGGTGCTGGGTTAAAAGGTGTACACCACCATGTCTGGCTAGGAGCAGACATCTTGAGTCGGCAGAGGGAGACAGTACTAGCAGTACCTAGGACATACTTCATTTCAGAAAACCAAAGACATATATGTAATCTTATAGATTCTTGAATAGTTCACTAACTGTTCCTTGGTCTTGTGCACTCAGTAAGAATGTGAGCTTGAGGACAGGACAACGTTTGTTGTTTTTTTTTTTTTTAAATGATTTTTATTTTATGTGCATCAGTGTCTTGCATGTGTCTGTGGATACTAGGAATTCAACCTGGATCCTCTGGAAGAACCACTGAGCCATCTCACTAGCCCACCTCCTACCGTTTTTTTCAAGACTCCATTTTAATTGTTAAGTACCATCTCATCTGAAGAGATGGTTAAGAACACAGATTGCTCTTCCAGAGGACCCAAGTTCTATCTATTCCCAGAACTCACATGGCAGCTCATAACCATCTGTAATTCCATTTCCAGGGGACCCATTGCCCCCTCTTCTAACCTCTGAGGGCTCCAGGTGCACATTTTAAAAAAAGTTATTGAAGTCAGGCAGAGTGGTATACTCCTTTACACTAGGAAGGCGGCAGAGGCAGAGGGATCTGAGTTTGAAGCCAGCCTGATCTACAAACTTGAGTTCCAGGACAGCCAATGCTATACAGAGAAACCCTGTCTCGAACTCTCCCCTCTTCTCTAAGGAAACAGCATGAAATGGAAAGTCAGTTCATATGCTATAATGACCTCAGGTCTTACTGGTAAGGCTCGTCGTTCCAGGAATTCTGAGAACGACCTACTTGCTGCAGAATGAAAATGACTGGCTGAAAGTATCCCCACCCTAAAGGGTTAGGTTAGAATATAGCCGGTCACTTTTCTGTGTTTGCTGTCACTTCTTCCCCATTCCCGTCACTAATGGCCATATAATCTCAAGCATACATCACAGTGCCTAGCACATGCTACATGCTCCACACACATCACTTATGCCATTCCCTTTCTTCTAATTTTGACAGAGTTCAAAGAATTTATTCCCAACTACACAATGTCAAGATTTCAGAAAAAAATACTTAAAATAATTATTTTAAATGTAAATACATTTTAAATGCATCTATTCTTACCTTATATTATAAAGAGGCTGTGTCTGGTGGACAACTATGTTGCATTTTGGGCATCTGTTGCCGTAGTAAAAATGTCTTACAATGCAGCTTTTACAAACTATTGGAAGAGAAAATGTTTAGTTTAGGATACTTTAAAGACATTTCAAATTTGTAAACTACAATTCCGCAATGTGAGCTATGCTTACAGGTATGAAGACACTCTGTAATGGTAGTTGCATCTATTAAGTACCCTTTGCAAATGGAACACATGATGTACGGGGTCAGTTCAGCAAGGTTCAGCAGGCGCTGCAAATGCAATGGTAACAAGTTTAGAATACAAGCCGTTGCCATCTCAAACCCATAAACCAGCTGGGGGAGGCAGTCTTGGGTTATATTCCTCCTTACTCATGTCAGCTGAGACAGAAGGCACATTTGAGCCCAGGAGTTCAAGACCAGGCCAAAGCAACAGTGGAAGGCCTCATTTCAAAACAATTTAAGCCATAATCTCAAGATTTCATTATAAGCAATGTAACCTAATTGCACCTTCAACCCTTCAAAATATTCAATCTCTTTTTCTCAGAGATTCCGCTTCTCTGGCATATACTTTACGCTGAGAGTGAGGGGCATCTGTTCTTTTGTTGTCTTACAAAACGCCCCGAGACCAGTCTGGACACCCCACATTACCAAGGACGACCCTGAACTTGCAGCCTCCACCTCCCCAATGTTGGGAGTAACGGTATTACAGGCGTCCACTACCTGCAATGTAATGTATCACTACCGCCCAATGTAAGCGGTGCTGGATAATTGAAAACTCAAAGCCTCCTGCAGGCCAGAGAAACACTACCAAAGGGCTACGCCCACCCCCGGGATGCCTTTCTTTCCACATGAGTTACAAAAATGTGTAAATTACACCACCACGTTAACAAAAACCCAAACTCTCACAACACCCTGCAAAAAATGACTACGTCCCCGTCCGACTTGTAGACTCGAGGATAGCCTCACGATACCCTAGATGGCTAACCCCTCCCGGTTCCGCAGACAACAAAATGAAGAAGCGGGTCCCAGCGTGTCCTAGGTGATCTGTAGGGACTTCGCAAAATAAACCAAGCCGGAGCAAGGCCACGCCTGGGTGGGCGGGGATGGAGAGCTACACAAGTGCCGCGAGCCGCAGCGACCGCTGCAATGGCAGGTCTGCGGGGTCCCGCTCGGTCCCAGAGGCCGCTCGGGCGCAGCCAGGTCGGGAAGGGTCGTCGGTACCTCCTCCTCGTCCTCGGAGTCCGGCCGCCCCGACTCCAGCCGCAGCGAGAAGTGGCTCATGTCTTCCTCCTCCTCCTCTTCCTCCTCCATCTCCTCATCCTCCTCCAACTCCTCGTCGTAGTCCTCGAAGCGGCCCCTCAAACGGCCCAGGCTGCGCTCGGGCTCCAGCTCCGGGGGCCGAGAGCGGGAGCAGCCGGGAGCGCCCGCCTCGGGCAGGGACGCCGGGCCCTCCTCACCGGCCGCGGGCGCCGGGGTAAGGGAGGGCGGAGAGATGGGAGGCGGCGGCGGCATGGCAGAGGCTCGCTTGGCCTCGGAGGCGCGACAGATTTCCGTGGCGTCCGTCTCAGCCTCTTCCATGGCGGGGGTCGGAAACCAGGCGAGGTGAGCGCGAGGCGAGGCGGACAGCTAGCGCGCGAGGAGAACACCAGCAACCCCCTTTCCGTTCCAATGCGCAGGCGCAGGCGCTTTGCAGGGGCCTCTGGGAAATGTGGTTTACCTAGGGACTGCCTAGGTGAGGCGGAGCTGCTCAGGTGGGGGCGGGGCTTGTGGGCCGCGCCTTAAAGGAAGCTTACCCAATTTTTTTGGTCTGAGGCTCGCCTTGAACTTTTCAAAAAGACTAAAAAATGCTACAGTTTCAATATTTTACTTGCATTCGCTTGTTCATAGAGAATGTAACTCTAGATGCCATGTGTTGTTAAATTAGGAATGATGATGACATCATTTTGAGTACTAATTAGTTTTTCCGTCCGTGGCTATTGCATCCATCCAAGCTAAGTCTATTTAGTGAGGACCTTCTTCTCAAAAAACAGGAAACAAAAAACAAAAAACAAAAAACAAAAACAAAAAAGCTAAAATGGCTCAGCCGGTAAAGGAATTTGCCGCCAAGCGTAAGAATCTGAATTCAATACCTGGTAGAAGGAGAAACCCGACTCCCGAAAGTTGCTCTGTGACTTCCTCATGTGCCCAAGGCTCATGTGTGCCTCCCAACCTCACAAAAATAAATAATAATAGTTAAAAAAAATCATTGTAGAAATTTATAAGAACATACAAAACCCAATTAAAGAAAATGACTGGGGACGAAGATACAGCTCAGAGGTCGAGTGCTTGCCTACCTGTGTGAGACCGTGGTTCATCTCTAGCACCAAAAAAACGTAAGCCAAAAAAAAAAAAAAAGAAATCTGAAAGATGAGAAAAAGTTAGAAGACAGCTTCGATAAGGATAGCCTCATAAGCCAACTGTGGTGACACGTTTATTAATCGCAGCATTCAGGACGCTGGGATAGGCAGAATATTAGAGGCTAGGAATTTGAGACCCACCTGGGCAACATTTTAACAACACTGTCTCAGTCTGGAGGTGGAGGTGCACGCCTTTAATCCCAGCACTGGGGAGTGGGGCAGAGGCAGGCAGATCTCTGTGAGTTCATGGCCAACCTGGTCAACAAGAGTTAGTTCCAGGAGAGGCTCCAAAGTTACAGAGAAACCCTGTCACGAAAAAACAAAACAAACAAACAAACAACAGCAGCAACAACAAAACCCTGTCTCAAAATGGAAAAAAAAAAAGTGACAGTCTCAAGACCTTATCCATTGAAGGGTGTGCACCACTGTCTTTGGACTTCTGAACACTATTAGAACTATTAAGATGCAGAGGTACCCAGCTCTCGGGAGGCAGAGGCAGCTGGATCTCTGTGAGTTCGAGGCCAGCCTGGTCTACAAGAGCTAGTGCCAGGACAGGCTCCAAAAACCAACAAAGAAGAGGAGGAAGAAAAAGAAGAAGAAGAAGAAGAGGAGGAGGAGGAAGAGGAGGAGGAGGAGGAAGAAGAAGAAGAAGAGGAGGAGGAGGAAGTCCTTTGAAGCTATGAGTCAAAATAAATCCTTCCTTTAAAAAAGCAAAAACAAACAAAGCTAACAAAACACAAAAATTGCTATGTAGATGAATTGGAATAAAATTAAGAAGTCAGAAACTAACCTTCACATTTAAGTCATGAGAGCCTTGACAAAAGTGCCAAGCTAATTGAAAGAGGGAAGAAGTCTTTTCAGTTTTCCTGACATATCTTTCTTGTGTCTGTGTGTATGTCCAGAGGTGCAAATGCACAAAGGTAGAAGACAATGCGATGGAAATGGTTCTCTCCTTCCACCTTCGTAGGTCCCAGGGATGGGGCTCAGGGATGGAGCTCAGGGTGCCGGGCTTGGCAGCAGGTGCCTTTATCTTCTGAGCCATCTCACTCTTCTGAGCATCTCACGAGTCCTGTTTTGTATTTTTTTTTTCAAGGCAGAGTTTCTCTACTAACCCTGGCTCTCCTACAACTTGCTCTGTAGATCAGGCTAGCCTCAAACTCATAGGCTCCCTGCCTTTGAGTGCTGGGTTAAAGGTGCATGTCACCACATCCAGCCTCTGTTTTGCTTTTCTGAAGCATGGTCTTCCTCTGTAGCCCAGGCTGATGTGAACTCCCTATGTAACACTGAACTCACAGTGATTTTCTTGCCTCAGCTTCTCAAGTGCTGGAATTACAGGCATAAACTGCCTTGCCATTCCTGTCTTTAAAATGTCAAATGACAAAAAGAAAATATAGATTGGAAAAATAAAAATGCTTCAAAGGATAATGATAAACACCATAAAGAAAACTATAGTGATTGATGGACATCCTCTATAAATCATTGACTAGTCCATAACACTTTCTTTTGTGTGTGTGTTCGGGGGGGGGGGGCTTTCAGAAAGGGATTTCTCTGTGTAGCCCTGGCAGTCCTGGAACTTGCTCTGTAGCCCAGGCTGGCCTTGAACTCACAAATATCGTCCTGCTTCTGCCTCCCAAGTGCTGGGATGAAAGGCATGTGCCACCGCCACCTGGCTCCATAAACCTTTCAACCTGGCATCTGTATGTCACATTGTTTGAGTAATCCAGAAACAGGAGAGGAAATCCAGAAGGAAATGAGAGTGCATATGGGACCTCGGAGTACGGGCAAGAGTGGCATCTCAAATCCCTGAGGTAGATGCAGACATTCACAGAAATACTGAGGAAAAACGGTTAGTCACCCAGTGAGGAAAGTTAAAACAGCAGAGGAAGTTGCTTATTCTTTTCTATCTTCAAGGTAATCTAGAACTGTGACTGACCCTTGGTCAACCCCTGGAACTGCGATCATTAGCGTTTATTCTCTGTCAATGATTGATGGTTTCGATGTGTGTACCTGGGGTAGTGGACCATGCTGTGCCAGTTTGTCACACTGCTTTATAAAAACAACAGGATTTATAACATGCATGCCTGTGGTTTCATTGTTAGAGGGCTGACTTTCGAAACAGTTGTGGCTGGTTATGTAGCAAGATAGCCATTGGTTTTTGTTTTTTGGGGGGGGTTGTTTGGTTTGGTTTGGTTTGCTTTGCTTTGCTTTTTGGATTTTTGAGACATGGACTTGCTATTCAGCCTTGGATGGCTAGGAATTCACTATGCAGACTGGGCTGGCCTCAAACTCACAGAGATCCATCTGCCTCTGCCTCCCCAGTGCTGGGATTAAAAGTGTGCACCACACAGCTGGCCCTCACTTGCTGCTGAATCCTGAATGTATTTTCAGAGGGTTACTGGGCTTTCAAAAATTGTGGGACTTCTGGAATCCCTTTTTCAACTTTATTACTATTATTATTATTGTGTGTATGTGTGTGTGCATGTGTACACGATGTATGTATGTGTGTGTGTGAGAGAGAGAGAGGGGTGCATTTACCACAGAGTGTATGAGAAGACAATTTTATAGAGTTAGTTCTCTTCCTCCACCTTCATTCAGGTTCAGAGGATCAAAGTTGGGTCATCTTCTGGTACAGCATCTTCTGCTGGCAAGCACCTTTGCCTGCTAAGCCATCTTGACACCCCTTAAATATTTTTGATTAGTGTAGCATGCGGGCCGGCTTGTTGGGGCTTCTGTCCTGCCTAATACCCCACAACCAGCAAGCCCAAAGAAAATCACACACAGGACTCCATAAGGTTATAAACTGATTGGCCCATCAGGTCAGGCTCCTTATTAGTCCTTGTAACTTACATTAATCCATTATCATTATCTACATTAGCACATGGCTCCATACCTTTCTCAGCTGGGCAAGTTACATGTTGCCTCTTCAGTGGTCTGCGCAAGAGTGGCTAGAGAGCTTCCTGTGTCCCAGAAAACTCCCAGTCTCTTTGCTCCACCCCTACTTCCTGTCTGGCTTTCCCGCCTATACTGCCTGCCTGGCCAATCAGTGTTTTATTAAAATATGATTGACAGAATACAGACAATTCTCCCACACCAGATTAGCTTTTTGTTCTGGTACTACTGGAAATTGAACATAGGGCCTTGTAAATGCTAAGCAATGACTCTACCACTGAGCCACATCCTCAAACCCTGGAAAGGTTTTGTAAGACATTTAGATGCAAGCTAGGTGGCAGTGGTGCATGCCTTTAATCCCAGAACTTGGCAGGCAGAGAGAGGCAGATCTCTGTGAGTTCGAGGCCAGCCTGGTCTGCAGAGTGAGTTCTAGGAGAGGCTCCAAAAAGATTTAGACAGTTAGATGCATACCTTACACCATATACAAGATTAAATCTAAACTGATTCATGAACTAAAGCAAAAAGAAACGAGGCTGTAGAAGGAAACATGTGTGGATTCCTCTTTATCCATGCACCTAGTAAGGCATCCTACAAGTGATTCTAGCTCCAGATGCAGTAAACTACTGATAAATCTGACTTCATGTAAATGCACACACGAAAAATCTCAGATAGAGCCAATTCTGGCTGGATGTGATGGCACATGCCTTTAATCCCAGCAATCGGGAGGCAGAGATGGGCAGATCTCTGTGAGTTTGAGGCCAGCCTGGTCTACAAGAGCTAATTCCAGAACAGGCCCCAAAGCTACAGAGAAACCCTGTTTTGAAAAACAAAACAAAACAAAAAAGAGAGTCAATTCTGTAGCTTTCCTGGTATATAAGTGTAACACTATGTTTTATTTCTAGTATACTCATTTTCCTTATATGTTATCTCTCTGTGTGTGTCCCCACCATGTGAGTCCTGGGAACTGAAGTCAGCTTGTCGAGTTTCTCAGCAAGAGTCTTTACCTCCTGAGCCATCTCATCTCACTGGTCCCTATCTTGTTTCTTGAGTGAGTCAGAGTCTCACTGTGTCTTGAAAAAAAACCAAAAATAAAATTAAAAATTAAAATTCTAAAATTTAAAAATAAAAATTAAAGACGAGGGAGGGGCTAGCAAGAGTCAGTGGGTAAAGACACTGTTTAAGCCTGATGACCATTCAAGGTTTATGAATGGTTGCCAGCATATATAAGTGAACTACATACATGCCTGGTGCCCACTAAGGCCAAACTGGAAAGAGTTCCTTGAGAGACCCTATCTTGCTGGATGTGGCAGTGCATGCCTATAATCCCAGCACTGGGAGGTAGAGGCACTTAGAACTCTGTGAGTTTGAGGTCAGCCTTATCTACTTAGCAAGTTCCAGTGTTGAGGAATGTTTGTTTAACTATGTAAAGATGTGTTGCTGTTTTACCTTGCCTGCTTAAGGTACCTGATTGGTTTAATAGCAAGAGGAGTTCATAGGTGGAACTTCTGGGAGAAGGAGATGCCAAGACTTGCCAGTGGCCAGCCAGACACAGAGGAAGAAGGAAAGTAGGACATATAGAATGAAAGAAAGGTAAAAAACCCTGAGGCAAAAATGTAGATGAATAGAAATAGGTTAAGTTAAACGAGTTAGTGGGACAAGCCTATGCTAAGGCAAGCAAAGTCCATTCAGAAACACAATGTGGCTAAACTTTGTTTTTTAGTGTCTAGAATTCCTTTGCAAGCCTTCTCAGGTTTTAAGAGGATTTTAGTTGGCCCCACATTGGGCACCAATTTGTTGTAGGAGGTTGCTAGTTTGTTCCCAGCTGCTCAGCCCCGAAATAATCACACAGAAACTATACTATTTAAATCACTGCTTGGCTGTGGGGCGCTCCTTGACCAGCAAGGAAGAACGACCACGAATCGAGGATTCTTCTGATCACACTTTATTGGAGCCTCTTGGTTGAAGGGAGAGCAGGAAGCGCGCGCGCGCGCGCGCGAGAAAGAGAGAGAGAGAGAGAGAGAGAGAGAGAGAGAGAGAGAAAGAGAGAGAGAGAGCGAGAGAGTGAAAGCCAAGTGGCAGTTGCTTTTCTAGGGTGGAGGTACTGTCCTGATTGGTGAATACCATTCCGCTGAAGCCCGGGGCTTCAGGATTGGCTAGGGAACAAGGCTCAATTGCGCATGTACAAGCAAAGGGCGCTCAGCCCCACCCAGCACTGCCAAAGAAGGATTTGTTTACCTCCAAGCTGCAGGACGTCAGTGCCATCTTGTGATGGCGATATCCGGATGGCTCCTTACAATTGGCTATTAATCTGTATATCTCCATGAGGCTATGGCTTACCAGGAAAAGTTCCAGCATCTATCTCCAGCCA